AAATATGTTAAAAACAATCATAATATTCATCATTAAAATATAAAAACAGAAAATGTTTATTTTTTGTTTTAAATAATTATTGAAAATATATAATATGCATTTTGTTGCAGTAATAATAATTGTAAATAAATAATTTTGTTTATGAAATGAATGAACTGAGTGAAAATTTGAGGGTGGTTGTGTTTATGACAATTCATGTAATGTAGATTAGTTAACTGTGAACTAACTCAAGTCAGTATTGGTTTGGTCAAAGGTTTAAGAAAAACCTAAATGGAGTGCCCCGCCTCCGAGTTCCGTGAGTAGCCTGTACCGGTTTACAGGGTTTAAGTTTGTAGCAGCGGAGGCGGCGGAGGTGGCATCAGAAGCCTAGGCAGCATCGGCGCTGTCCCAGTTCCGAGGAGGCGCGAGGCGCGAATGCGTTACCGGAAGTAGGTGATAATATGACGCATGGCATCGGTGGTGTATTGGCTACTTGTTGATGCGGTGTGCGGGGGCGGTGCGCTCAACGAATGGACGTGCGACGAGGCGCGCGACGTCGGCGTGCGCCTACGTGAGCTGCGTACTTGCAGCCAACCAGTTGATCCTGGGACCTCCCATTTTCATCTTGAACCGCCCACTTCTTGGAGTCGCCCGACGGTCGGAGTTTCGACAGGCACACACAGGGCCGAAGCCGCGACCCGACCGCGTCTCCTCCGCTGCCTTTGGTGGTACACATCACCGTCAGCGCATCTTCGCGAGTGTCTATCCGCAACCGCGTACCGTTTTCGTTTTGCACCCTTCGCCGTGTTACCACGATGCTGCCGTACCAAGCCGTTGCCATGGACTACGCCGTCTCCTCCAGCTTCCAACGGCAAGCACCCATCGGAATCAACATCAACCCAGCGTTCACGCACTCCTGGTTCGTACCAGCGGATCTCTGTGTCCCCTACAAACAGACTCCTGTCCTCGAACCAGGGCATGTTATACTTATTATCTCTGCTTATTAGTTGTAAATAGTTGAAAATACCAAACCTCCCCTGACGCACCCCCGGCTCATCTTTGGACGAGTCAGGTGTGCGACCTCCACCACCACCACCCCTTCAAAAAAAAAAAAGAAACCATAGAGCAGCACGTGATCGCATCCGCACGGCTCGACTACCATTGCATGCCTTTAACAATGATCACCATCAGCCAGCTCTTCCTTTCAACAAAAACAAATACAATACCAACACACCATCACCTAGGTATAAGATCTCATGTATTCTCGGCGATGTTGCCGCTGCTGAAATTTATTTTATGGTCAGTGTGCGGTAAATCGGACTTCCTGATAGGAAATCCTCGATGGTCGTAAAGCCACTCGCCGCTCCACCTCCTCCTCCTCCTTCGGATCGGAACAAGCCAGACTGGACCGGTCTAGTCGCGTGTATCGGGCTTAAGCGATTTCGATCACGCATTGCCAATCGGCGATTCCATTCAATCGGTTTCATTTGCCATTCACGGATGGTGCCCGAATTCGGACCCAAAACCGTTGTAAATAATAATCGGGATACGCTGACCGCCGGACTATTACCATTTCCATTGCGATGTCATTGTCACGCGTTGCCGAAGACTCCTGTCTGCGGTTACTCCTGTTACCCGGTATTTGCATATACCGACAGACATTCCCAATTCCACAATAGACCAATGTTTTGCAATTATGGAAGCTTCCATTTTCAAACTATTATTTTCAACTTTTTCATTTAGAATTTCCTAAATACTATCTTTGTTAAAATTTTAAACATTACGAAATTCAAATCCAAAAAACTAAATCTACAAGTAAATTATTTGGCAAATTACGTGTAATATATACGATATTTGTTTATATAACTAATAGTATTTATGTTTGATTCGACGTACAAGTGTATTTAGATATGTCCATTTTCGATTAGTTTAAGTTTAAGATTTTATCATTTAACAAAAAAAAATAGTGATGAGCCACCAATGGATTGTGCGGGCCGACCCGTTCATTAGAACCAATAGAATTGTTAATAACGAAAAGAGTCGGGGTTTGCCGATCCCTCCTTTAGCGTTTAGCGATATGATTTGCAGCTGCAAGTGTTGATTTTTATCGAGACGCATAGACATGCAAAAACGTTTTCGTATAGAAATCGTTCAAATTTTTATTACTTTATCTCTTATTTCCTATTCGTGGCCCAATAAGAATTGTTTAAACTTTCATAACAGCAACTGTAATTCGTCGTTACGTTTTAAACCATACAAACCAATTTTTCGATAATCACTTCGTTTGAACACTTTTAATTCAATTGAAAATTATTCACAAAATGTTGAAAGTTTTATAAACTTGAAAGAAGATGTCATTTGTATTTGTTTTCTCTATTATTATCCGTTTCGTTTGTCTACGATTTAAAATATGTGCACGTCCAACTATTATTCATGCCTCATATAAATTATTTAAATTAGAATCCGTTAAAATGATTATCATTAAACAGTGTCTTTCCAGTTTAAAATAGAAGCCATTCCGTTTAAAGACTTATCCTTGAGCTTCTCTCTGATTGTCTTATGTCAGCGGAAAACTTTGTCCATCATATAAAATAGAAAATTTTTAAAAAAAAAACGTTTTTCTTAACTGTTTGCAACGAAAAAGTTGATTAATAATCAAAACATGTATTCCAATACATGATGCCACGTTACAAAAAAAAATCACAACTGTATACACAAAAATATGCTAGTAAAAATAAAGGTGAAAGACCGATGTCTTCCTGTATACTCAAATCATTCATAACTTTCTACTTTTGTATTCACTACAAATTTGTAGTTAATTATTTATGGTATAATTGAAATTTTGTTTGAAATAATAAAGGATGTTATAATCAATGTATTGAAAGTTTTAACTTTGATTTTTAATTAAATTCAGTACAAATTTTTAGTTATATGTTTTTAAGTAATAAATTGACTTATTAAGGTATTACTTTTATGTAATGGTATTTGGAAGTTATGATGGTTTATGTATTATTGAAGTTTCGTTTAAAATTCTCATAAATGATGATATATCGAAATGCTGGGGTGGAAGAAAAAAAAAATGTTACTCATCGCTTTGATTTCCCATTTCAGCATTGTCGTATTTACCCTCAAATCAAGTTTATGTGGTGAAATTTGGTTACAACAGTTGTACGTATCGAGTCAAACACGGGGCGACAATAAAGTTTTATTTGTTTTAAATTCGGGATGGTAATGTGACAGATTTTCCGGCAGTGCATGAAAACCGCTGCGTACGGATTTGAGGGGTGTTCGTTTTACTGCGTCTCCTGTTTTTTGTTGTTATTGTAGGGAGTCTTTTCGGAAATTTAAAATTGATGTCTGAAAGGGATCATTTTCGAATAATACAGATTTTTTGTGGGGGATGGTGAGAGTGGTTTCATTCGTGATACCAAAACCACATTGATTAATATTGGGTAAGAAGCTTAAAACATTCGGATGTGTGAAATGATTCATATGAAATATCCGTGATTGAAATGCTCTCTCGGGAGTCGGCAAATACCACTATGAATATGGGATGTGGAAATCCGGCGACGACAATTGGTCTTGTTTTCATTTTTATCCGAGCTCTCCCCCTTTTCGGAAAATGTTATCCCTGGCATAATCGTATTATCGGGACACTACTGTCCCTTCAATTCTCCGGCTTTTTTTTATATATATATATATAGTATTTTTTCTCTCGTGTGTTCTTTCGGAGGTGATCATAGCGATGTTGCAATAATAGAAAAGAGAAAGAGAGATGGAGGAGTCTTTTGGGGGAAAAGCTCCCGGACGGTAATTGGCCCCGAAGAATTGTTTCTGTCGGCATCGCCTCTGCTCAATTTGCGGCGCTTGTGAAGGGCAGCGTGTGAAAACAAAATTAAGCCCAACTTTTTGGGCCAGAAATTGGTTGGAATTGGTGCGCGCCACTTCAGCCGTCATTCAACTCCGTGGAGACTCGCCCCTCGCCTCCCGATTATTAGGTTATCAGCATCTCCGTAGGCCGGAGCTGTGGTACCTGGCGACGCGACACCTCCCGTCCTCCCCAGAGGATAGCGGACTCCTTTTATCTTCTCATATGTGCATCCTAAGTGCGGCCCCCAACCCCATTCCCATCCAACGTTACATCAACTTTAGGAGTGACCCACGTACCGTCGCATCCATAGCGGTAAAAGCAAGAGCGACTACTAAGGTCCGAAGGACTGCTGACTGGCAGCTGAGGATGCGGATGCCCGGTTTATGACCCATCCTACGTGCGCTATGTGTCACACTAATGACTATCCGATCCCACGGGACGCCCCTCGAACACCACTACTCAATATTACTTACTTTTACTGTTACTCCAAGAAGACGCGGAGCCGGTCCTCAATTAAACCCCGGGCCCAATAAATTCTCAACCTTGCAAACCAGAAAAAAAATATATATCCAAGAAATACCCCACGAAAATAAAATAAATAAAAGAGAACAAACACTCTCTGGCAGGGTGTAATTCAAGTGGATTGCTCATTTATTTTTTTTTTTGTAGTTCTGCTGAGAGAAAAAGAAAAGAGAGAGAGAGATAGGCACTTCTTTTGTGCAGATTAGTGAGTTATGGGCCTTCCTGTCGTTCGGGCGTTGTTTGAACGGTGATTGGATTCCGGTTACGTGCACTCGTAAAACTAAAACCAGCTCGTTCTCCTTCAGCCCTTAATTTCTCCCTGCTCACCGGACATTTCATTCCGGGAACGCCTAATCATCGAATCCACCCGGTGACCCCTGGCCCGATGTTGCTTTTCACTTTTATACATCCTGTGGGACCGACGTCCAAAGTTCGGCTAGGTTCAATCGCGCGCGCGACCCTCGACAAATCCCGCCGGGAGCTTTCGTTTCAATACTTCCCCAACGAGACCCGAAAGGAAACACCGTCCCCGTTCCATCCCTTAAAATACTACTAACTGATAAAAACTGATAGGATCTTCGTACCGGACTCATGTAACTCATGTTTTTTCTTTCTTTTATTGTTACAGTATCCTGGAGCTGAGGAAGGAGAAGAGCCGTGACTCGGCGAGGATACGCCGCGGCAAGGAGAACTTCGAGTTCTACGAGTTGGCCAAGATGTTACCGCTGCCGTCCGCCATCACTTCCCAATTGGACAAAGCCAGTATTATTCGATTAACTATATCGTACCTGAAATTGCGCGACTTCTCGGGACACGGGGATCCACCATGGAGCCGCGACGGACCTACGCCCAACAAGACGCTCAAAAGTAAGTTCTTCTTGCGCGTTAAGCACTCCGACAACCAAAAATAACAAAAAAACAAAGTAGCTGAAGAAGTTGAAGGGAAAAAGTTAAAAGAGAAAAAAAGCTTACAATAGGGGCTCACGACACAGACTTACCCGCACTGAATAATAATACGCAAAAGCCGTACGCTCTTCTTCACATTTTTTTTCTCTTATTTATTTTTTTCTTCTTCTTTCACCCATCGTACCCCAATGTACGTGATTTTAAACTTTAGAAAACTTCGGAATTTTTAATCACCTCTTTCTTCCTGTGGGAAGCCACACATTTCTCGAATTGAAATGTTAAACTTTTGTTTTCTAAATTATTAATTTCTCATTTAACAACATTATTTCATTTATCTTCATTTTGAAACACCAATAACTAGAACATATAATATAACACCAGAATAAACTTTTATTCAAAACAGAAACTGGTAATATTTTTCTTTCAAATCAATATTAACAAAATTTTAATTTAATACATTGATGTCAAGGGTTGAACAATATTTGTTTTTGCTTTTCTTTAATACGTATCCTTACTGAAATTAAGAAGGCTACTGAAGGAATCTGGCGCGTTCTGTCTTGAATTTTGAGTAGGTAAAATGTAAATGCTAATTATTATTATTTTCGGTGCGTACAGAAGTTAAAGGGAATAGTAATCGTAGTGTAATTGAAAGAGATTTCAGTGAAGCGAAGGCATAATAATAATAAAAGAAAGAGAAGGAATAAGAATAAGAAAAAGGAAAAGGAAACGAAAAGAGGCGAAGGAAAAAAAGAAAAAAAAACAATGGAGGGCTCATGACACCAATCCACCTATGTTGAATAATAAAACGCGGCGACCATTTTATTTTTACTGGATATCGTAGTCCGTTCGTTTGGTCTGTACGTGATTGTGGATACTAATTTCTGTATGCCGCGTTTCTATTTTTAGAAAATAATATATATCTATATATATATATACGTTCGTGGTTGGATAAATATATGTGTGTGTGTGTAAGGAATCAACTGCACGGGGTGGATATAACAAGGACGAGGGTGGAATGGGTTTTTGTTGGATTTGGCATGTGTTTGATTGTCGGGTCCAAATCTTATTTTCGGGAATTCCTGGTTGTACATGTGGGATACAATGGGCGTAATGATATATGATAAAACGAAGCTACTGACGGGCCGTTATTGAATTATCTAAAAAGGGAATACTACTGACCGCTGGCCAAGGGCCCCACGGGACACGACCCCACCGCCTCTTCAATATTGTTTTATGAAAGATGAGTGCCGCTTCCTACACTTATTGTTGATTTTATCGCCTCCGGTTTTTATCACCAGTTATGTTTAGACACACCCACATCCAAATAACAACCACCCAAAAAAAAAAATAAGCGAAATACAGTAGTCTCTTAAACAACGAGCCGATTAATTGCGACGGAGGCAACATCTTCATTAGGGGTGGCAACCGGATGCCGGAAGCTGTGGCGGATCAATGTCAATTCATTAGGGTCCGTGTAAATGTAAGGAGGCATTTTCAAGAGCGCACTAATTCCGCATAATTATTTCACTTAGGGCGAACCCTCGCAAGCCGCAAGTACACGAATTACAACTGTAAATTTTCCGAGTTTGGTTTACAATAAGCACCGACTAATTTTATCATACTCGGGCGGGGTGCGGGAATTGGATTTGCAGAATTTAACAGCGAGGGTCCGTGATTAGATTTACATGCTGTAGTTTTGATGCGAGGGGTGCGAAGGGAGGAAGGGTGGTAGGGACTGCGGCGGAATTGGAGGCGGCAGAGGCGGTGTGTTCCCGGGCCAGGACAACGGTGACACATGTACCCCTTTTATTTCATTAGCACGCGCCCTCGATTCATAATCATCGGGGTATATTCGGGCAACCCGCTAATCGAATTCAAAACCAAATCTTCTTCTAATTACCGCAACAACCCTCCTTCGCCTTCTTCTCCGTCCACACCCGAAAACAACTAATCGGAAAATAATTCCCGTATATAGACAATCGATTCGATTCGGGAAAACCGTAAAAATCCGCTCATCATCATCAGCTGCACTTCTTTCATCTAAAATCATGAGAAACCGATCAGCGCAGCAAAAAAATAAAATCTTATGTAACACTAAGATAGACAAACGATATAACGAATAAATAATACTTTAATATACTTATATAACTTGAAGGGAAAAAATTAAAAGTTACTTATATATAGTAACAAATCAGTTTAGATTTTTTTTTCAAAATTGTCTCGAGACATATGCAACCAAACTCACATAATTATCATATTTAAATGTTTTCAAACCACAAATTATTTATATTTTTATAATACAAATAATTAATGTTAATCAATCATAATATTTTGAAGGTAATAAAATTGAAGGTACAAAATAAAGTTAACACAGAATAATATTTGTTTAAAATGATTGCTTTAAAAAAATATTTGTGTAATATAATTTTTTATTATTCTTACTTGAATAAATATACTAAAACAATGTTTCGTTATGAAGAGTTAATTTAGCTTAAATTAGTTTTGTCTACGTGCTCAAAATATGTTTCTAATTGGATGATTTTAACAATAGCTTGTAATGTCTGTATCACTGGATGTAGAAAAGAATAACGTACGTTAATAAAACGTTTATATAAAGAACTATCCAATAAAGATCACACCTGACTGGATCTTTTCACTAGCGGTAATGATAAAAGAAGGCAAAATTGAGGGGTGATACTACTTCCTTGATATTTCGCTTTAATAGGTATCAGAGGTAGGCAACCAAAGTGACGGGAATTTGCACCCCTCGCCGGATGTTCATTCCATTTATCGGATGCAAGTGGAAATTGCGCCACCCCCCACTTTAATGAAGTCGTATCAGCGTAATATTTGCCGTTATGAGTCGGAGGATTGTAATTTAATGAATAAAAATTGGTCATCCTCTAGGAAAGGTCCTGTCGAGGAACTAATAGCAGATTATTGCTAATCTGTTGCGATATTGGAAGAAATATTCGGAGACGGCTCACATGTTGTCCGGTTAATTTGTAAAATAGAGCCACCATTAATAACGTGTGATTTATAACGGCCGTATATTGAAGTCCGTCTGGCGCAACATTATATAACAGGGCATATAACATATGAGTTTGGGTGGAAAGTATGTGCGCATCTCAGGGAGAAAGAGAGAGAGAGAGAAGTGTAACAAATTGGGTATAATGTCATCGGTAAAATATTGCCGTTCGATGGGGAAGTTTATCAATTGGGTGCGCCTGCGTTTGGGGGTGGGTTTCGGGTCTTTGGATCTATTGCTTCGCATCGAGATTTGCGGGAGGCAATAGAAATGCATTTTTAATTTTAAGTAGATCCCAGGATTTACGAGTGTAATCGGTAGATTGGCTTCTCCGGATTTCGAAGGATCGACTGTATAATATTCCATAAATATACATGGCTTGCAGAGGTTCGCTAAAAGAATAATGAAGAAGCGGATCTGTTTCTGATGAAGTGCCAATGATGAAAACATCGCCGTCCGCCCCACGTTTAATAGACTAGCGAAATCCCCGTATCAACCCCTTTTATGAGATTCATTGGTTTGCCCTTCCCTCTTTCCACTTGACTCATCGTTTGTGTGTTTTTCGGTATGTTTTCAGCAAACCGGACCCGAACGACAGGTGGACTCGTCATGGATATATTCGAGCAACATCAGGGTACCCACATATTGCAGGTAATTTCATTTAAAATATACATTTTTAATTTACCTTAATTTCGAGTACATCAATTGAACTTGTCTTTTCGATCTATTGTACTTTAAATGTTCTCTATTTCTGAAGATCTCTAAATATCAAATTAATTGGTTTCAGTTAAACATATTAAATTTCATATATTAATGATGTTTCATTACATATTTTTTTAGTAATAATGTTGAATATTTGTTTGTCCAACTAGTAGCTTTGAAGATATGGCTGTTTATGCACTTATGACTGGCTCTGTATATACTTGTTATTTTTTTATATTTCTGAGGGGGCAGCTTATGAATAAGTAGATCCACTCCATAAAATAGATGATTGCGACGGAGAACGCCGTGGATAACATATCCGCTACATCCCTTTACTTTTTCCCAACCAATTTACCCCGCGCTTGTCCCGGCTGACGTCTGATCCCTTCGGTGTATAAAGAATGACCGTCAGGACATGACGGGAATAACTAACTCGTTTACTGACATTAGGAGCCCTGATACCGGTTAAAGATATATTTTTGATAAATGCGTTTCTGCAAAACAGTCATCCTTCTCGCTCCAGACATTGTGCATGTGACACATCAGTGGGCAACAGCTCTAGTTTTCCGATGAACCTATGCTTCTTGAATAACTATCATTTCAAAGATACGACTTTAACAAGTTTCTTTTTCAGTCTCTGGATGGATTTGCCTTAGCTCTGGCCGCCGACGGAAGGTTCCTCTACATTTCGGAGACGGTGTCCATTTACTTGGGTCTATCTCAGGTAAGCATCGGAGTTGGTATAGGATTCTGGGGTGGTAGATATGGTGGTTCTAGTAAGTTGACGACGTTGTTGGTCGCCACGTTCGCGTCGTTCGCACACCCGACAACCGACACCCGACAAAACCCAGCCACCCAACACCCGCCGCCCCAATGGCAAATGCTCCTCACGTAGTCCTCTGCAGCGGCGTGCCTGCCATTCATAATGCGACTGGCGGGGTTACAATCAATAGGGTGTTTGCAACTGCGGGAACATGGCCGACCTTAGCTGCACACGTACATGTTATCACCTACAGTTTTAAATCTCTTGCACCGAGCCAACCCACATACTAATTGCCTCATCCGCTCGTTCACTATCAATTACCCATCCATCCGTTGATGAGGACCCTAGCTAATTGTTTCTCTGTCGCAGGTCGAGATGACGGGAAGCAGCATCTTCGATTACGTCCACCATTCCGACCATTCGGAGATGGCAGAGCAGTTAGGTCTTGGTCTGGCTCAGGGTCAGAGCATGGCCTCCCCGGGGAGCGGTTCCGAAGAGGGTGCCTCCAACGCCGGCACCAACAATCCAGATGGTATGCATCGCCATAACGTAACACCCGACGGCATTTCGGTTCGGCTACGACAGGAAGTCGTGGTTGGCATGGAAGTCAGCCTCTCGTACGTGGCCAATTGTTATTCTGCGGTGACGATATTGTGTCACGCCCAGGAATACTGCGGCTAATCGCGTACTCGATTAATTATCGCATACAATTGCGCTTTCCACCCACGCAAATTCGACTAGTCCTCGAAATCTGTCGTATGCCAATAACAAAAAACCGCTCTCAAAACCTCAGAAAAATATAAATTAAATCAGAATTAGAAGCAATTCCGAAATTAAGCAATCTTGACTGTTATCACGACCGTATGCGGTTGCGGATTCAGTTAACCAATAACCGCAAGCCTATTACATTGCTCCAAAGCATAACGATCTTCTATTTTCATCGTTTCCATTCTAGTGTCCACGATAATGTCCCTGGGAAACAATCCGGCATTCAAGGGTCTGGATCGGGCTTTCTGCGTCCGCATGAAGTCCACTCTGACGAAAAGGGGATGCCACTTCAAATCGTCCGGCTACAGGGTAAATACCCTCAAATCCCTTTTAGAAATAACGTGAAACCTTAACGAAACCTCAATTTCCAGGTCGTGCTGATGCTGTGCCGCCTGAGACCGCAGTACACCTTTTCGCATACCCGTAAATCGCAGCCTCCGCTGCTCGGAATGGTCGCCCTAGCTATCGCATTACCTCCACCCAGTGTTCACGAGATCCGCCTGGAATCCGACATGTTCGTCACGAGGATCAACTTCGATTTCAGAATAGCTCACTGCGAACCGAAAGTCTCCGACTTATTGGATTACACCGCCGATGAGTTGACGGGTAGGAACCTGTACACCCTCTGCCACGGCGAGGATGCCAACAAATTGAGAAAATGCCATGTCGACTGTAAGCTCTTCACACCACGCCCACCTGCAAATATCGATTACTAATAACTTGTATTTCAGTAATTAATAAAGGTCAAGTCCTCACCCATTACTATCGTCTGATGAACAAAAACGGCGGATACACCTGGATCCAAACTTGCGCGACTGTCGTCTGCAACTCCAAGAATGCTGATGAGCAGAACATCATCTGCGTCAACTACGTGATAAGGTAAGTTCAGTCATCACATCTCTATCATATTACCAATATATTTCCAAATTAAAACCCGACAAGCTTAATAACTACATTATATTAAATTCACAAATAATTAATTCATTTATTAATTAATTTAACACATTATTAAATTCATTAAAATATTTTTAGTAAAATTGTATCACAAATAATTTCTGACATATAAAACGTTTATAACAATAATAGTTGATGGATTAATACTGTAGGTTTGTGCTTTTAACTTTACCGACAAACTGTCGGTCAAACGTCCGGAATGCAATGCTCGGTCGACATTGTTATACTAAAATTGACGCTATTATATATTGCCTTTCAAAAAATATATTTTCTAAATATTTTAGGTGGTTTAATAATTTTAAATAATTGATAGACTCACTGCCAATAGTACTATGTAATTTATATACAATTTGAATTTAGTTTTTTTATATAATTTTGTTATTGAAGTTAAGTCGTTGAATTATTTTATAGCTGTATAAATTGTGGTTTATTGCTATTTACAAATTCGTAATTGTGACTGGTGGTTTTCAGTGGTCGCGAGTACGAGAATTTGATCATGGACTGCTGCCAAATGGAAGACAATGCGCATACGGTGAAGAGGGAAGAAGCAAGCAACAATGACCCGGAGAACGGATCACCTGATGCGGATAGAGGAGGTACGTTAACGTACCACCTATGTTAAATAGTTGAATTTAGTCTAAATAATAAAAACAAATGTCTGTGGTAAGATGGCCGCAACAGTGGAGGGCCGTCCAATCCACCGCCAGAGCCACCTCAGAATCTGGAGGATAACAACACCGAGGATCCAGGCGAATCGAGGAGCCACCGCGTTGAGCACGTCACCCAGCTACAGACACCCACCGATGGACTTCAGAGGAAAACTGTAAACGTACGGAGAGGAACGAAACGGAGGAGCACGCAAGAAACATCCGGGTCATCGGACGAAGATGAAGAACAACAGCCGGCGCCACCCAACAGAAACATCGTCCTCAGCCCGGAATCATCCTCATGCCATTCAACAGGCGTCGTGCACACAGTGCCCGCAGACACAAGTGGCACAAGCCCAAAAGTACAACCTGAAGAATCTAGCGGCACCTCCGTCAAAGATCTGGAGAACGCGATGTCGAAGCACCTTCCAGCCTGCAAATCGCCAGCACATCAACCCACCGACTTCAGCACAGACGCTCTGTTGAAGCAACAGCAGAGGACCACTATCCAATGGATTGGGGCTCATCACCAGCAGCTGCAGCAGCAAGGACCGCTACCGGCATCGGCGCTGCTTAGGCAGTTATACGCAAATCGTGAGAGCGTGATTCGCGCCAATGTTCATGGCATCACCAGCGCAGGAGGACGTTCCGGAAACTCCACTTCATATTATCCAGGAGATGGTCAGGTGGGGCCGCTACCCACGCCACCCGGCAGCGAAGGCTCTTCCTCCTACAGTGAACATCAGTTCCTGCTGTCGCAACACCAGAACTACTCCACGGGCTACTCCATGGACTACCACTCTGCCATGACGCCTCCGTCCAGCGTGTCGCCCAGAGACAAGCACCAGCAGCTTCATGGTGGCGTAGCTTTCGAGACGCCCGTCTACCAGGATGTTCTTCGACACCAGTACCCTGACAGTCCACTGCCGCTGAAGCCCCAAGTGTACTCCTACGTGGAGCAACCCCAGTTTTACCACCATGGCGCCGCAGGCGCCGGCTTCCACTTGTATCATCCCGGAAAAACCGCTCCCACTGCACCCGCAAACTGGTACTCACCATCATAGTGCACTGATGACACAATTTAAGTGCTGTACATATAAAACATAATTTATCATAGTGAATTCAAACTGCTAATGATTGTGTGCACTGAACTCGTTCCTTAATATATACATACATATATATATATAAATATTATATTAATTTCATCGTTGTCTTTGATAGAAATTCTTGTTTTTATTAGCCAAAATAGATTTTATCATTTTCTCAAATAAGAGTAAAACCGATGGAGGAAGAGGCAGTCGTGAGAACCAGAGAGAAGGAAGAAAAAAAATATAAATAAAAGAACGAAGAGCAGAAGAAGATATTAATAATATTATTGAAAGCATATGTAAAAGGAAATTATTACTGGAAATATTTTGAGGCTAACATATTAAACCAAAGAAAATAGTTTTTTTTTTTAAATAATATTATATATATAAAATAATATCGCGAAGTAATTATTATTATTATTATTTTTTATATATATACATATACATGAATATTTCGCGCAAAATAACAACTTATTGTTTTCTAACTGGACGCAATCGACATGGCAGCACCGAAGTTGCGAGGCCATCGTCGGTTTAGAAGCAGAAGATTAGAAGGGAAGATCGATGAAGAGAAGATACACAAAGAGAGAGAGATTGATTGATATACAGAGGGGGTAAATTGAGAGAGGAGTTATATTATTATTATTATATTGTTTAGTTTATGTTTTATTCGATTCCATTATTTACTTTTAGGTAATGTTTAAGGTCTAAATCGTTTGCTGTTTGTTTGTGTTTTCTATTTTACGTTTATACTTACTGTGGTTCAATCATTATTGCTATACCTCTCTTTATTATTATTATTACTATTATTATTTTATTATTATCGTTCTTTTCATTTCCATTAGTTACGGTTCTTTCTCCACAATAATAATCATATCCTGTTATAGTAATTGTAAATACTTAATAAACAAAAAAAAAATGATAAAACGAAATAAAAATTAGATGTATGTACGCTAAATCACTGGGCATTGGTGACATTTGTGGCTTAACATGGCCTGTGTATATAATATATTAGTGACCATATCTACATTCCATTTATGTAATAATTATTGAAGGATGATGTCGATGTGAAGGATGGAAGAATTAATTGAATAATCCTTGAAGATGAAAAGGTGCTGAAAGTTGTAGGAATGTGATATATATTATAATAATACATTCGGTATGATTTGTTGATGGTTATGTTTCGTTTTCTGTTTTGTACACCTAAGCCAATTCTCCGATGCATAGCTTGTAACTGATCTGATCAAATTTCCCATACTTGGGAAATTATTGTATAAGTTCATTTTCCAACATAGAAAGCTGTGAATCTGGGAATCAGCCATAACTAGTTTATATTTTTGTCACTTGGCGTGCAGTACAAATTTAGTAACAGCTTATCATGAATATGTAACATATATTTATGTGCAATATATACTTGATCCTATTCGTTTTACTCGTTACTTTGCAACTTATGCGTTGCATTATTTGTCTTCGTTTACTTATTGATAACCTTCCCTTTTAAATAAATACGTATATGGTATAAAAAAACAACAAGAGTTTATTATTTAAATCCTCAAGAACATATTACTTCATACATTAATAATAAAAGTAACCGAATAATTTTACTTTCTTAATCAACAAATATTAATTATTTTTTAAACGACAATTTCTGAGAATATTTATATTTTACATTTAAAAAATATAGCCGTTTGGCTGTAATTCGT